ACTCTTAGTAGATGTATAACATACTGCACAAGGAGCATTGTGATCATGCTTTCCTGGAAATATATTATCACCACATTTTATATTCAGTACCATGCATGTAAGAAAAAACAGAAGGTACAGTTGTACTCAAATATTGAGGGACCTTTGGTAAACAGACATAGTTAGCTCCTCCTCCTGTATGAGTGTGATGACTACCTCCAGTTATTCCCTCATACAGTAGTCCGTTCAGCTCCAGTAGGACAGGACTTCCTTCCCCAACGAGTGTACACTACTCCTCCACTTTTAGGACCAGCTTGTCCTACAGGTCCAGTTTCACCTTTCCCTCCTTTCTCTCCTCCATTATCTCCTCTCTCTCCTTTCACTCCATCTCTTCCTGGTACTCCATCACGACCATCTCTACCACGCAGCACCTCAACATAGGTTTGTTTGTTGTTGCAGGACAGTCCAGTGTTGGTGTTATTCTTTAATGGTATAGCTGTAGTTAGTGTCAGTATTGAGAGCAACACTGAACACACAACTAGTGATTTCATTGAAAACCAAGGCAGTGGTGATGATTCTAGGAGTTTATGTAACTATTATTAGACTGCAATGATAGTATCAAATTAAAGTTACATTCCCATACTTTTCCTTGCCATTCTTGCTAATTATATTAGCAAAATAATTTTTTCACTTATTAGTATGGAAATAATCATCTCATTACCAAAATTCCTATAGGTAGACTAGAAATTTTTATCACACACTGTTAATTGTTACTTAGTTCACACAACACAATTATGAGCATATTATTGATACATATACATGTTCTGGTGTTGTATATCTAGTTTGAACTCATTTCAATAAAAACGATTTTTTATAAATTTTAAGCTTCAAAAGACATGCAGCACTTTTCAGCTCATGAAGCATGCTGCTGTTCAGCTCACTTGGCATGCTTTATGGAAAACCACAATATCATTATTTTGTAATTTTCACATAAACACTAATGAATAATTAATACTAAATTATTTGCAATTGGAGGATGCATTGGAAATTTTGTAAAGATTTTACTATGAAATTGAGTCAGTTCATATTGCTTGTCACTCTTTTCTCTAGGCAACCACCATAAAGTTTTTTTGTTCTATTACTCCTCAAATGTTTGACTCTGAGCCAGTAATGGACTCTGGTCTAGTGGTAATGCCTGGATACACTGAAATACCTGCCAACACTAGAAAAGTATTTCGTATTATTATTTAAACTTTAATTAAATGCGTCCACTATAGAGTACTATTAGTAAAAGAAAATGAGAAATTTGTAGCCCAAGCGTAAGAATAATGATGCTTTTCTTTCATCCCTCTCTTCATTCTGTCTCTTAATTTCTCTTTTAGGTTCCATTACCTCCTATCCCTGTTGAAGAAGAGGTAATGAAGAACTTATTAGCTTTATTTTTTTAGCTTTATTTATAATTATTTAGAATTATTGTTATTTTAATAGGCAAAAATCAGTATGCTGATATGGGCAACATAAGAAAAAACAAAGTGAATAATAACTATTGAATTTATTAGTATACAATGTACTGCCAATGTACAAATTAGTAAACATTATTTTTTTTTGTAATTTTATTTTTTTGCAGTGATCAGCAAAACATGATGATGATAATAATGCATAAATTGACTGTGTTTTTGAGCTTGTACTGAACCGAATTGAGTTCCTTTGTGCTATATTTATGCTTTACACTATTAATTATATAAATAAACTTCCTCTACTTTTTATGAATTATAGGTTATAGCTCCACCCATTGTAATTAATGATGTTGTTATATGATGAGCTTGAGCTTGAGAGACTTGACTTGACTGTCATCTATTTTTCCTCATTCTTCTCTTTCTCTTACACATTCTCTTATCATACCATACTGTATAGTGCTGTGCCTTTAAAATTTTGTGGATTGATCAAAATAAGGTGTCAAGCATACAAATTATTATTAATTTTTGTTGCAAACTAATGAAATTACAAAATTAACCCCCAAACAAAAATGTTAGGTGGTCTCACTGGTCTGCCAACATTGGGCCGCGTGGGTCCCGT